AGTGGCGCCGCCATCGACAAGCAGCATCCCCCCCGCGTGAACTCCAGGTGTGGAAGGGGGGAGAGAGAGAGAGAGAGGGAGAAAGGAGGTGTGGGGTGCTTGGATAGATAGCGGCCCCGCCGCGGGGACTGGGTCGCTTGGGCGGCAGATGAATCCGCCAATTGAGCCTGACGAGAAGGGGGGACTGGCCACCACCAGCCAGGGGGAGGGAGAGAGAGAAAGATCTGAGCCGAGAAGTAAATTCGGAGGGCGAGAGCGTATGCTCGTTTCCCCAGGCCCCCCTCGTCGCCGCTGTTCCCCCCAGTTCGAGCAGGTACATGCGTGCGTGAGTGTGTATGCGTGTGTGTGCGCGCGCGCACGCGTGCGCGTGGGTTCCTGCGTGTGGGGCTGGGCGACTTCGGGACGGGTCGCCCTCCTGCATGGCCTCGGCCATGTGTCCAGATCACGCCCCTGTTCACAAAGCCGCTCCTTAATCGGGAGTTAATCCAATGTGCGACTGCGGTGGCGTACTCCCAAATGATTCATCCATGACTCAACCATGATCGGTGGCACTCACTTGTGCCCTTTCTTATGCGGGACCGCGGATCCGGCTCGAACGCCAGTGCCCTCCTCGGTGTGAGATTCCCTTCCCCCCCCCCCCCCCCCCCCGACAGGATGCAAATGACAACATGGTGTCTATTTGTGCCCTGGGCGGGCTCGGGTCGGATGCAGGACGAAGGGGAGAACGAGCCCTTCTGCCTGTGTGTGTGTGTGTGTGTGTGTTAGTCGGGCCCTGAGCCTCACGCCTCTCAGCATCTACGGCCTGGCTTCGTGCGCGAAGACATATCGCTTCAGGGTATAAATGCCCCCGCCAGTGAGGGATCCTGTTCTGGACGTGCATCATTCAACCTGTCCATTATCCTGACCTCCTGCTCCTTCCCCTTCTTCCTCTTCCTTTTCTCCTCCTCTCCTCTGCTTTGCTTGCCCTCTCTCTCGACCACGCCCCGCATTCCCTTTCGCCTTTTTCTTCTCAGCACCTATACATACCTTCCTGTCGTACACACGACGCTCCGCCTTGCCATACAGAAGACCCGCTGGTTGTTTGCGAAACGTTCGACACACCTGCTCGCCGCACCCCCCCCCCCCCAGTACATGGGTTTTCCAACGCACATGTACGGACATGCACACGCCCACGCCCATGGTGGATTCATGCATCCTTAGGATGCACACTCTCGCGCGGGCCTGAGCTTCCGTCCGGCCATGCATGCACGCGGCATGCCTCACTTCGGCAATGCCCCCCCCTCTCCCACTCCTCATGCGTGTGCATCGTCTTGAGGCATTCTCCCTCCTTCCCTCTTCCTCTCTCCCTCTCTCCCTCTCTTCCTCTCTCCCTCTCTCCCTCTTCCTCTCTCCCTCTCTCCCTCTCTTCCTCTCTCCCTCTCTCCCTCTTCCTCTCTCCCTCTTCCTCTCTTCCTCTTCCTCTCTCCCTCTTGCCCTCTCGCCCTCTTTCTTTCCCTCAGTTGCGCTCCGGATGAAGCCCTGGTGCCGGTCCCACGCCCACAGAGGCAGCGCGTTTCATCTTCCTCTGTTCAGGCTGTCAGTGGCGCCGCCATCGACAAGCAGCATCCCCCCCCCCAGTTACCATCCAGGCAACGGGGGGGAGGGGTGCCTTTCTCTCGCACAGTGGTCGATGTCGACCCTGGGTCTTCTCGTGGAAAAAGGGCATGAGGCGTGTGCTGGGTACATGGGGGTCAATCTGCCCAGGCAGCGTCGCTGTGCCGGACCCAGAGCCCGCGGTTGCCTCCTCGCCGCAGGGGCTTTCTTCTTCTTTTTTTTTTTTTGCTCTGCCTCCTTTGAGGAAGTACCCAAAAGGGCCAGGGCTGGCATGTCTATGTGTGTGTGTGTGTGTCTATGTGTATGTGCGCCTGTTTTTGCATGCGGTGAGCCCAATCGGGTGCTCGGAAAAGCTTGGCACAGGCCTACGCATGTTTGGACATGTGGTGCTGTATTTGTAAAAAAAAGAAAGGGGGGATGGGACGCGCGCGACGGGCCTCAGGGCGGGTGCTATCTCTCTCTGTGATACTGGTGCCGGGACACTGGGGCAGGGGAAGGGGGATATTATGGCACACAAAGGGAGCACATCTCAGTACCACTGGGCGGCGCGCGTGCCGGGAAAAAGGGGGAGGGGATCAAGGACGGTGATGGCGAGCAGAGCGTGTGGAGGGGAGGGGGTGCGCGCGCGCGCGCGCGCGCGACAGGTGGGCGTGCGGCACATAGATCTGCGGGAGAAGAGGAGAAAGGGGGAGGGAGGGGCGGGGGGGAAGTGGAGAGGAATGGGCCGGGGCCACTGTCCTCACCCTTTTTTTTTCGCGCACACGCGTGTACACACACACGGGCGCGCAGCTATTCTAAGGAAACTGGGGAAAGGGGGGCACTTCTCGGTCTGCATGCCTCTGCGTGAATGCATGCACACACATACACACGCCAGGGGGCGACGCGCGGCTCTCTCTCTCTCTCTCTCGCTTAGGACGAGAAGAAAGTGGACTTATTTGAAGAGCGGAGGAAGAAGGCCTTGACCAACTCGTAAGAGGTCCAGCAGATGGCCGTCGAAGTGGAATGGACCACCAGCCGGGGGCGGATGCCGTAGAAGAAGCCGCGCCAGCCGGAGTCGCGCAGGATACCGCGGCAGGCGTCCATGAGGCCGCGCTCCAGCGGGAGGGCGCCGGCGGCAGAGGCGGCGCCGGCGGCAGAGGCGGCCGTCCGGAGGGCGCCAACAGCCCCATGCGCCTGAAGGCCGGAGGTGATGACCGACCGGGTTTGCAGGCGAGTCTTGGCCACATCCAGGGGGTTGGTCAGGGCCGCGGCGAAGGCGCCGGCCAGGCCGCCAGAGGTGAAGAAAATCCCCAACTGCCGGGCATCGCGGCCCTCGGTCAGGTGGTCCGGGAGGAAGATCGACTGCAGCATGGGCTTGAGGCTCTCATTGGCGGCCACGGTCAGGCCATGGTAGGGGACATTCATGATGAGCGTGGTGAAGTACGACCGATAGAGGCCGGCCATGCCCTCGGTGCGCATGATGGTCTGCACGCAATCCGTCAGGCCGGAGTAATACCCGAGCTGCAGCCGCTGCTTGACCACATCGATCGGGGTCATGAGCATGTCGTGCACGCAAACCATGGCCCCTCCGAGGGCCATGTCAGTGAAGGGGGACCGATAGGGGCCGGCGGGGGTCTGGACGGTGGTCATCTTCTTGCCTGTGTGTGTGTGGGGGGGCGGGGGGAGGAGGCAAGGGAGAAAGAGGGGGACAGGCGGCAAGAGGGAGGGGGCCAGGGATATGTGTTAGGAGGGGAGAGCGGGGCGAGGGGAGCAGAGGCAGAGGCAGAGAGACGGCGACGAGAGGCCGGCACACGCACCGAGCTCGTAGATGGAAAAGTAGGCCGCGTGAGCGGGCATGCAGCCGATGAGGACGCTCTGGGCGCCGCGCCACACCCGGAGGAACCCCTGCTCGGCGACCAGGGACCGGAAGAGCTGGCGCGCCGTGAGGGCCGTGTGGACATTCGGGACGAAGCCCGGGGCGGCGGCGGCGGCGGCGGCAGCCCCGCCGAGAGTCCGGGCCACCGAGGACCGAGCCATCGGGGCCGAGGCGGCGGTGGTCGCGCAGAAGGACCCGGCCATCGGGGGGACACTGCCGGCACCGGTGACGGCGGCGGCCACGGTCGCATGGCCGCCGGTAGTGGCAGCGGCAGCGGCGCTGGCAGTGGCCGGGGCGGCGGCGCCGCCGCCGCCGCCAAGGCCGGAGGGCGGGATGTTCGCCTGCATGTAGGTCTTGATGGTGTCCACGGGGAACATCATCAGGTGCTCGCAAAGCCCGGCAAAAGACCCGGCCAGGATATACTGCCAGAAGTGCATGCCGCTCTCGGGCGAGTACTCCTCCCACTCCTCGGAGGGCTCTTCCATGGACAGAGTATGGGGAGCGGCGATGGTCGCCGGGCCGGGCGGCGAGGTGACAGGCTGGGCCGCGGACATTCTGAAGGAAAGACGGACGGAAGAGGAGGGCTGAGAAAGGGTGGAAGTGGGGGGGTAGAGGGGGGAGGGTCGCGGGGAGAGGGGGGGGGGGAGTCTCGCCTGGGGAGGGGTGCGGAGCGGAGGGGGAAGTCTGTGGGGGTGCGGAGTTAGTGGGAGGGGGGGGGGGGTCAGGGGAGGAGACGGGATGGGGATAGAGGGGAGGAAACCCGGGGAAAGGGAGCCGAAACGGACCGGGGGGAGCGGTCAGCGTCGGGCGAAGCGCGGGCTCATGTGCGCGCGTGCGTGTGTTTCTGTGTAACTGGCAGCGAGGAGCCGGCCGGGTGGGCGAGGCGAGGGGTGATGGGGTGGGAGTGGCGGCGAGGGAGGGGAGGAGGGGGGGGGAGGGGGGCGGGGGGAGGTACAGGAGTCGGGAGGCCAAGCGGATGGAGATTGCCTGGGGAGATTCCCAACAGGTAGATTTCTTTTGTGGTCGCGCCCCCTTGTCCCCTGCCCCGCGCGACGTTCGGGGGGAGGGGGGGACGGGGGGGGGGGGAGAGGGGTGGGCGGGGCGCCCACGCACGGAATGGAATCTGCTCGCCCGGCCGGCAATGAGAGCCCAGCTAGGGCCGCGCGTCCCCTTTGCCCCGTTGGGCCCCTTTCCTGCCCACCTGCCCGTCCCTCCCTTGTCCCGGGGCAGCCCGCTCTCCGGCCGCCCCAGCCCCCTGTGGCCGGGGCACTGAGGGGGGGGGGGGGCAGATTGTGGGAACGGGCCCGGGGAGGGGGGACGCGCGCGCGGGCTCGGGGCGCGTCGGCTGGTCGCGCTTACCTCGCCTCAAGTTGGCGTTTTTTTCCCCATTCTGGGTCCGCGCGGGGCCCAGGCGGGCCACCTGGCTGCGGGTGCGAGCCCGGGGGGAGAGGGGCGCGACACGCGCCCAGACGAGGGCCATCATGCGCTAGACTATGCGGGAACCCAACGGCAGGGGCGGCGGACATAGCGAGCACATATGGGGGGGGGGGGGATCCCCCCCCCATCGAGGTGTGTGATGTGGCCTTGGGAACGTGTGTGCATGGGCTCTCTCAGCGTGAGGGCCAGCTGGCGGGCCGGATCGGCAGCCCGCCCGCCCCGGCGCCTCCCTCCCGGCTCCGCTCATGGCCGGGTGGTCGCACGGTGCGCGTGCAAGTCAACTCGCCGGATGACGCGGAAAGCACGAGCGGCGCGGCCTGAGACGGAAGGCCAAGGGCCCACGTTCCGCCCCCCCCCCCTCATGCTGGATGTACATCTCCCTCCGTGTGCCGGCGAGACAGGGAACTTGAGGGCATGCCCGAGGCCCGGGTTCGCGCCTGTGTGCGCACATTGGCCGGGCCCGGGTGGCACCATGGTGTCGGGCCCTCGCCGCCGCCCCCCCCCCCCCCCGGCTCCGGCCCCGGGCCAGCTTGGTCGAGAGGACCGCGGGGACCACGGGCTCGAACGCCGGCATTGCCCACGAACCTGCTGGCATCGTACGCTGTGCGGGCGGGGCGCTCGAACAGGCGCGGAGGAGGCCGGCCGAGGGGTGCTCTGAAGTTCGAGCCTGCCGCGCCGGACAGACCAGAACACCCGGCCCCGGCGCCGGGGCCGGCCCCGGGGCCAAGTCCGTGCCGTGAGCAATTCCGTGCAAATGCTCCGGGCGCGGGGGGCATGCCCCTCTGGCCTGGGGGGGCCCAGCCGTTGGGCCGCCTCTTCTGGCAGAGAGCGCGAAGCCGGCACATTCGGGCGCGCCCCCCCCCCCCCCCCCCCGCACGCCCAGCCGGCCTCGCGGGGACGGGGCAATCCACCAGAGGGCGCAGTCTACACATCTCATCAGGCTGACGTCTACTAGAACTGCGGGCACGGCCGGGCGCGGGACCAGACACTCTCTCTCTCTCTCTCGCTCTCTTTGTGAGCTCAAGAAAGTCCCCCCCAGCCCCCACTGCCCTGCGGCCTGCTCGTCCAGCGTCCGGGCCTTCGCGCAGATGGGGGGGGGCTGCCCACGTTTTGATGATGTGTCAAGTCGTCGGGTGTGCGACTGATCTCCCCGGGCCGGCCGGCACAAGCGATGCTCCGCCGCGGAGAGAGGGCACCCAGAAGGGGGGCGTGCGTGCGAGGAGTGACACCGCACGCGGGCGGAATAAGACCCGGGGCGCGCGACGGGCGGGGGGGGGGGGGGAGGGGACACGGCGGAACTCCACGCCCCCCCCCCGCGCCCACGCACCAGGCCCGGCCGGCGGCCCGGAGGTCCCGCGCGGGCCCGCCGGGGAGGAGAGCACGACGAGGCGTTGTCCGGGGGTGCTGCCGCGCGGGCGTCCTGGGCCGCGCCGCGGCGCCCCCCCACCCCCCCCGACGCCGAAGGGCCGATTCACAACGGACCGGGCCGTGTCAGGGGTTGGGGTTGGCTATGCGGGCAGCAGCGGACAGGCCCGGCCCACCGGAGGGGGGGGGGGGACGCCCTAGAGCGCCGGAGAGGCTAATCCGGCGTACAGTCCCGGACCAGCGCCAGGGTAGCGGCGAGCCGGCGTCCGGGCGCCGGAGCCAAGGGCATGCTAGAGATGGTGGCCATGACACACGGATTTATATTATACCCCGGCGCCGGCCTCGGTCCCCCCCCCCCCCCCCCCCGGGCGCGGAGACAGGAACGCATCCCCAAAGGGGCGCCGGCCCGAGAGATGCCCCCCTCCTCCCACCTCGGAGGACTTGGAGGCGGCAATAGACGCTGCCCCACGGGCCCCGCGGCCTCCGCCGGAGCCGTCCATCCTGCACCCCTCCCCCCCCCCCCGGGGGGAGGAGGCGGAGACGGGGACACGGCCCGAAGTCCGGCCCGAGAGAACCCGAGGGCCAGGCCCCCTTGCAGCTGGGGAGCCTCCGAGCCGCGACTCTCCGCAGGGCCGACACGCGGCAGGCACAACGCAGTCGGGGTGGCGAGCGAATGTCGTCAACCGGATGCCCGTGAGGGACGCCCGCCCCGGCTGACACGTAGATCAGCTGAGTCCCATGGAGCTCAGGTCCCAATGCACGCGAAGCGCCTGCACGCGTCCCCCCCCCCCCTGTCCCGGCCGCAGGGGGCCCTTTCCTTTTTCTCCGGCCGCCATCCTCGTCCTCCGAGCCCGGCGAGCCCTTCTTCATCCGCCCCCTCCCCTTTCCCTCCCCGCACCCCCGCGCCCCCTCCGCCCCCTCCGCCCCCTCCGCCCCTCCCGGAACTTTTGCCCCTCTCTCCCCCTCCTTTTTGCCTCCCTCCCCGCCGCGCCGCCAGCCATGTCCGAGGGTGAGATCCACATCAAGGCCGAGCCGGAGCATGGCGACGTCGTGCTGGAGTCCTCGCCCGATGTCGCCAGCCCGGCTGCTGCCCCGGCAGCCGGCCCGACCCCGATCGAGTCGCCAACCGCCGTCAAGATGGACGTCGACCAGCCGAGCACCCCCTTCCAGGTGAACCCGGCACTGGAAACGCGCGTGGAGCTGGATGAGGATTTCATTGAGGACCCGGACGATCCGGTCGTTCAGACGGTCAATGTCTTCCTCGGGGGCCCGAAGCTCCGACAGCACATCCACGTCCTGCAGTTCCCGCTGAAGCACCACTCGCTGTCCTACTTCACGGAGGACATCACGCATGCCCGCTTCAAGCCGAAGGTGCGTGCTCCTGTTTCATTGGATTGGGGGG